AAAATGATAGTAGTTGGGAGCATGAACAGAGCAAAAGTGCAATCCTATACATAGCAGCATGGCAGAAAGTCCTAGTATGCCTGGTTAGACCTGTTTCAGAGTAGGCTCACTGCAGGGGTAAAATGCTACCAGTTTGGACCGGTTCGCCCCAACCAGTAGCAAAGATGCCAGCTGTTCGATTGAACCAGTAGTAAAAAAATGCTACCAATTCAGGTGAACCATTTTTTCTGAGTATCAGCTATGCCATCAGATATATATTAGCTAGAAAGCAAGATTTCCTGTTTTCTAGCTAATCTAAATCACATGGCACAGCAGAATACCCCCCCCCCTGTTCGCTTACCTTGGTGTTCGCTTACTTGCTTGCTAGGCGTGCTTGGTAGCAGGCTCTGCCCACCCAGCCAGATGTCATTTTGATGCTCTGTGCATGCGCAGAAGATCCTGCGCATGCACGGAGGTGCTCACTTTGCTACCAAACTAGTAGCAAAAGTAAATGGATTTTACCCCCGTCCACTGCCATTGGGGTCACTTTTTAAGTAGAAATTTGTATACTGGATAAATTTCTGCATATGAACTGTAGAATCATGAAATAACCATGCATGGTGAGAGGAAACAATTAAGAAAAGTCTGGTTATTTATTTCATCTTGGTCATAAAAGTTTAAATAGCATGTATCCTTTTATACAGCAATATTATTGGTTAGGCTAGACATACATGCACAAAAAAGGTAGGGGGGGGGTATTTTCTGATTATGGAAGCCCTGGCACAAGGTGATTTTCTTTTCAGCACAGGGTTGGGATAGTTTTGATTTTACTGGACCTAAGTAACATCAAAAAGCAACCTTGTGCTCTCTAGATGTGCTGAAAAACAGCTCCTGTGCTGGCTTTGTGGATGTACACTCTAATACATCTGGAAGGAACTAAATTATGGAAGCTGACCTAAGACATTCTCCAAAGACAATTCCATACTGTATGCATCCAACATAATTGTTTCTCTTGCAAAGTCCTTGTTGATTTTTTTCCAAATCCTGATGTATGGCTTCATGCTTCACAACTGTTTATGGCTGAACACAAAATACTGTATAACACTGAACCAAAGAATGTGCTGCCATTGTGTGGTATGATAATCACAAATTTAGGTAATTTTAAAACAGGAGGATCAGACTACCCGTGACTCCATCTCCACTTCTGTATCCTGAGTAATTGAATACCAGTATTTCAGAAACAAAATTGGAAGATCACTATTGCCCAAGTGCTTGTGAGCATCCGTGATGCATTTGGTACTCCATTGTCTGACACAGGGCTAAGAAAGAGTGATTGGCCCCAAGTCACATAGTTGGCTTCATGGCTAAAGCAGGACTGGAACTCACAATTTTTAAGCTAATGTTTTGAGTCACTATACCAAAATGGCTCCCCACTAGCTAGTCCTTTTATTTATTTTTGCCTTGAAATCCACAGAAAATATTAACTTATTCTATATCTATTTTTTCCCAACATGAAAAAGTGTAGAGAGAAGCATTGAACCCACATTTAGGATTACATCCTATCTGCCACTTGGAATATTTCAGTTTCATAATCAGCCATAGGTTTAAGGGAAAAAATTCGGAAGTCAAGCCCTAAATCATAAGATTGCTTTGTAAAAATGGAAAATGCTTTGGAAGGAAACAAGAGAAAGTGACAAAAATTCCCTTTCACAGTTCAGATGTAAAGAAAGAGTGCACAATTCCATCTGCATACAATTAAATATGTTAGGTTTTCCATTGTCTGAGAAGAGACAGAAAATGAAGACTAGTTAAGATTATAATGACATAGGAAGCAAATTTCTTCCACTGCTCCTCCACAAATATATGTCAAGTTTAACAGAAGGGAAAATAATGCTTGTTCAGGTCTCATTTTATTATAAACTTTGCCCAGTTTGCATTTTCTAAAAGTTCCCAAGATTTCTAAAATAGGACTATTCTGTGTGCAAATCCACACTGTTCTCAACTATGCATTAAGCCCCGTGAGCTGGCAAACTCAAGAAAAAAGAACCACTTGGATTTCTGGAACGATATTTATTGCTAGTAGGCTAGCTATTGTATAGAATCTTGAAAACCTTCCAAAGCAATTCTCCTGCACAATTTATACCTAGTGTGGGTAGGAAAGTTATTCTGAGACTCTTCCTTATGGCTCTCCATGCCATAACAAATGTCAAAAGGCTGTTAAATATTAATGGCCGTTCTACATCTAGATTAAATTGTAAGCTTCTCTCAAACCCGTTTAGTAAAAATATTTGATTTCTGAAGGTAGCCCAGCAGATCCAAAATAAGAGGCACTAGATGGTGATCTCTAAAAGTTTGGAAATGAGAAGTCTATAATCAAAGAAAAAATATCTTTCTTTTTTTACTCAAAAGAATGGTAAGAAAAAGGAGGTTAAATAAATCCCTTCTTTTGATTTTTTGTTCAGAAATTACTCCAAAGCTGGTAATTCTTGAGTAGACATGTATATTGCCATTTAGTTCTGAGATTCAGGCTCTAGGTAGCAAGTTGATAGTATAATTACATACCTAATGCAGAGGAGAGGCTGCAGTTTCCTTTTCCCTTGAAGCATTGCCAAACTCTACATACTTTTCTGGCAAAGAAGGAAATGGAGGCAGTGTAACAGGAGAGAAAGACAAGAAGAAAATCTAATGCCTGCAACCACAATTGTTGATCTTTTTATTTGTTATCGTTATTGTTTTGTTTTTTTGAGAGGAAAGAAATAATGGATGCCAGGATTAGGTATTTGCAACCAGTCTATGGCCAAGAAAATTGGAACATACAGTATACAGGAGAAGTTGAATAATTATTTGCAAATACAGTTGCAATAATTATTTGTGATCACTTCTTCTCAGCTGCAAAGGAGTTGGGGACCTGATTTGAGGCATTTGCCATTGATCACTTCCATTTGAGTAGGCTTTTCCAGTAACTCTTTGTACAACACAATTGCTGCACAATAGCTCAGTTTAACAGTTTCCCAGAATCTGAAAGAAATTATGGAGTTGGAATTCTGTGTGTCTGTCTGTGTGTGTGTGTGTGTGTGTGTGTGTATTAATTAGGATTATAAACTGCAGTTGCATGGTTTCATATGTCAGAACCCTTCTTCATTATCCAAGGTTCTCCTGAAAAGCTCTGTAGGAGGAGGTCCATGAAGACTTTAGATCAATTGGGGCATTTATTCATAAAAGGTACTAAATTTCTTCTGCTGATTAATATCTGTAATACAATAATTTATTGTATTCACAAATGCAATGTTTTTCAGGTAATTTAAAGGTAATTTAAAGGAAGAAAGTTTAGCAGGGCAACTCTCCAATAAATGATCAAGGGATCTACAGTAAGCATACAATCTGGGAGGTCCTATTCATTGTTTTTTCCACTGTCATCTCTATCTACATAGGCTCCATGCCATTAGAAACCAAGGAGATGACTAAAAGGGGGAAAGGATGAAGAAAGGCTCTGAAATTATTACCTTTTTCTTATTTTCTCCTCTAGTCTACCATCAATCACCACACAATGTTGAAATAGTTTTTCCAACTCATCTAGTTCATCAGAAAGGCCTTCCCAAAAATGAATGATGAGTGGAAAACCATTCTAACGGACATCCCTGAGTTATAACAGAAAATCTGCTTGCACTCACATTCTCTGCATCCTCTTTGTCAGAAATCTCCCAATTAGCATCTGCTATCCTAATAGAATTATCAAAGAGAGGTTTGAACTTCTGCATAAAATCTTGATAGCTTCTAGTATGCCACCTTTGCTTTCAGTAAGTAGAAATGCCCATTTTCCTTTCAAAAGTCTAAGAACATAATGTCACCTTGGTCAAATCTGTAGGGAACTCTTAACCTTCCCACCATGAATAATTCACACGGAATAAGAAAATATTCAATAGTGTTGGATCCTGCATTTTCTTAATTTCTCAGACAGATTTTCAGGAAGTATAACTGCCACCTGTGGTACTTCTTCTAACTGAGGTAAACCCTGAATTAACTGCACTGTAGTATTATGTAAACTTGTGATCTATGTCAGAGTTCCCCACCTCTTCTAGCTTTGCAGACAGGTGAGGGGGAAGAGGCGATGATTCCATTTGAGCAGACAACAAATGTGTATGCACAACTCCATTTGTGCAAGTGGCAGGCACGCCCACCTGCCATTCACACAAATTGAACCCTCTGTTTTCACAGCCCAGTTGCAAATAGCTCATGGTCCACTAGTGGGCCATGGCCCAGAAGTTGGGATCCCTGATCTATGTGATCTGTTACCTGTGCTGCAATAATACCACTGGCTCTTACTCTGCCAACAACAAGGAACCTCAAAAGATCCTAATTCACCTCCAGGATACATGATCTGGCCCTTCTTTCATGAGGCAGTATAAAAGACTTCAAGATTCATGAAAAACGTTGTGAAGCTGGCAATCTCAGGAAATAAAATCCTGAGTTAGATTTTTGGAAAGATCTTTACTGCTAGTAGGATAATGTAGAAGAATTTTGAAAGCCTACTCAAATAATTGTCTCATACAGCTAAAATCTGGTGTAATTTAGACAGAGTTACTCTAGGTTTCTTTCTCATGCTTCTTCCCTCCCTTGGACTTCAGAATCTATTCTTAACAGTCCTGTTTCCTCCTTTAAATGTCTTACTGTTCCCTTTGTGTTCCTAATGTCTATTATACATTCTATCACACTATGCCATACATTTGTCGGTCTAAGAAAATCTACATTGGAAATAGACATACAAACGCACAATTTTATATAAAACTGCATGCGTAAAGTGTGCATCTTATAATGGCATCTTTAAAATGCATATATTTAGGTAAAAAATATGCAGACTTTTTAAAAAATTCTGAGTACCAATAGGGGCAAAACTAGAAGGGAATGTGACTGGAAAGGCAAGCATAATCAAACCTGAAAGTTTGACCAGTCTTACTTATTTGAATTTATGCAATATACACCATCCCTTTTACAAACCATTTAAGTAGCTGACATCTACTTACCCCTGATGGTGGGTTTGCTGTCCAACCAAGTTCAGCTGTGGCTGTCCGAGTATCCATTAGTGTTTCTGAGGGTTCACAAAGAAGGGGGGTAAGTAAGTTAGGAGTCTGAATGTAAGTACAAAAAACATTGGAATATAATTTGAATTCAAAATTGATATACAATTTGTATTGCTGCTCTGTGAATACAAGATTAAGCTTTTACAGTGCTTCGAAACTTGACTTTATGATTTCTAGTAAATACAATAATGGAACTGGAAGAGACTATTTGGATGAGTGAGTTGACTTTAAAGCATCCCAGTGAGGTAACAGTCCAGTTTCTAATTAATATGTTTAATTTTTCATAGCATATTAAAGATTACAAAATTATTATTACATTAGCTTTTAAGGACAAGAATCCATTTCATTGCATGTATCTTAGGAACTGAACTCAAGAAAGCTTAGGTCATAATAAACACACTGGTATTGAATTACTATAAAACACTCTTTACATTAACACAAATTGGTAATTCACATTCATTTGAAAGGAGTCTTTGTTTCCAGAAATACTTGCTTATTCTCCTGTTGTATTGATAAATGTTTATATTCTCTAATAATAGTGCCATATGCTTTGTGTTATAGCAGTAATTGTGCTAACTCAATCAGAATTATCAGAGACACTCAAAGACCACTACGTTTCCTAAAACACCTACTATCAAACGGAAAGCAATATAGATTATTTTGGTTTGTTATAAGATGCCTGAAACAATAATATCATCAGGAAGTTTGTTGGTTCTTTCTAAGTGAAACTGCACAAAGATTTAATTCCATATTTTTGTTGCATGTTAAAAATACAGGTCTTATAGTCACAGCTAACTTGTCTCACTGATTTACATGATGTCCTAATTCAACTCACTTTTTTGGCAGTTCAACTTTTATTACACCTCAATAAATCAAACTCAAACTTGGTATGATAATCAAAAAGCCAAGGTCTGGATTCAGTCTCTAGGCAGGTGACATTATTGATGTATATCAATACTTATTTACCTGCTCATCTCCAAATGTCAATCAAAATTGACCTTCAAAATTTCAGGTTATTATATGGGCCTTATCTCTTTAAATATTTCATATTGAGCTTTCACCAAATCATCCACTTACACAAAAGATTGATTCATACCTGTGATCTCACCATAAGGCTGGATGTTTCGCTAACATGGGGCAGCCCTTGAAGAGCATTCGGAAACTTCAGCTTATCCAGAATGCAGCCGCGCGAGCGATTGTGGGTGCACCTTGGTACACTCATGTTACACCTATCCTCCGTGAGCTGCACTGGCTGCCTGTTGGGCTCCGGATGCATTTCAAGGTGCTAGTCGTTACTTTTAAAGCCCTACATTGTATTGGACCTGGGTACTTGAGAGACCGCCTCCTGCCAATTACCTCCTTACGACCGATTAGATTACAAAGATTAGGCCTCCTCCGAATACCATCCGCTAGCCAATGTCAACTGTCGACCCCTCGGGGGAGGGCCTT